TGGTTAGTTGATTAGCTGAAAAATGAAGCTCTACATTCAGGAAAAAAAAAAAAAAAAGAAAAGAAAAAAAAGAATATGTAGAAGTCATAATGGATCCTTGTATATGTGAAAATAATATGATGTAGATAAAATGTTTAGACACATTTTTAAAATATACATATTTCCAACATCTTATTAGGGTCTCAGAAAGTTGTTATTATGTGCTTTATGGGATTTTTTAAATCATGTTGACCCTTGCAAACCATTTTGGGATTCTCCATGCTTTCACTCTTTAATATCTGACAGACAGTTCACAGGTCAGAGAAGGGTATCTTTGTCCACACCATCCTGTCTGGGTTTTTTGGTGACACTTGTTAGATTCCTTCTTCCCTTTGCACGACAGTGAGCCGGGATGGCCCAGTGCTTGGGATGCAGGGCAGCACAAAAGGAGGACGCAGGATGACCTGGGCTCCACCACCACGTTCTCCCAGCTGCAGCCTTCCTCCCAGCCATCCTCCCCTTCTGTTAGAGCGTACCTTGCAAACGCCACTCTTCCTGCTGCCTAACCGTGTAGCAGCGCCAGAGGTTTGAATCACATCTCAGGAGAAACAACAGCTTATTTTCTATGATTTTCATTGCATAAAAATAGGAAATAAGCATTAAAAACATAACATGCTTAAAATAGATTATAAAGCTGGACATGAAATGTGAAAGCCATTTCTTTCAACTAAAATGAATGTATATATGTTACAAATCAGCTTGTACACTACTAAGCTCAAATTTGAAAGTTCTTTTCTGCTTCTTTAAAAAAGTCCCACTGATTACAGAATTTCAGCTGACTGAAACGATGCCCTTTCAAGCTGCTACTCAGAACCTTTCTGCATGCTGTATATATTCATACAACTGCATCATTCAGAAATGGTCTTTTAACACAAAAGCTGAGCTTTTTCTTTTTGCACCCTAATTACCAACATCCTATGAGCCCTGCTTATTAATACTTAGTAATAAACTGTTAAATATATTTTAAACAAACAAATCAAAAAGATTATACTGGTCCTAAGCAAACAGTACTTACCAGTACGTACTTGCCTATATTATAAGATACCTACAGTCATTTTCTACTTGGATATTTTGAAAATACTGTGTATGTGCACACTGATACATCACACAACAACAACAAAAAAATCCTTAAAAATCTCACAAGCTAATTACAACATAGGAAGGAAACAAAAAGCAATCAGAAGAAACGTTTGGATGTGAATGTTTTTGTGCATATACCGAAGTACAGAAATAGGCCTTTTATTTCCAAAAGTTACACTGATGTAATAGATTTAGACTTTATACATGTAATGTGCTAGCAAAGCACAACAGCAACAGCTAAACCCAGTAGCTGGCATTTGGCAACTTTTATAGATCCTGACTGACTGTGTACAAACAAATCAGTCATTGAACTTCCCCAAAAGACAACAGTTGACTGAGATGAACAACATTGGAGCACATCTTCCCTTTTCCGCTTGCCCCCCTGCCCATTTGGAATGCATTAATTTTACATACCAACCATCCCAGGTCCTACAAACCTTGCTTTGTGTAACAGCTTCTTTTCAATACACAAGAAAATTACAATATATCCATTACACATTTAGTGACAGAGTGACATAGTCTTGACAACCTAACAAACTCCTCAGATGAAGTACCTGCCATGTCTTCTAATTCACAGATCTGTTATAAAATGCAAGTGAAAATGGCATTACAAAGTTTTATGCCGATGTGAAGTCCGCAGGAGCCAACTCCAGACAAAATTTCCTCAGTTTAACATCAAAGCATTTAAGCATTTTCTATCTTGCTTAAACAACACACACCTGAATACTGAAAATTAAGCTCTACTTCACAGTTATTGTCAATAATAAAGGTTCTGTTGACTAGAGTTCCTGGACAGGTCTAAGGATTAACTGGGTTATGCAAGTGATTAGCCAAGGTTAAAACAATCAGGTGCTGCAGTTATAAGCAAGGGCAATATTTGTCCTTCCCTTGTTACTGGTGTAGTTAAACAGGAAACAGCAAGGGAAAAATTGCATCGAATTGTGTTTTTGCTGGTATAATTTATTTCAAACGGTAGGGGGGAGGTACACAGCTGAAAAGCTACAGTGTTACATGCAGTTTTGATAAGGAAAGCAGGGCCCTACTAGGTTGTGTCAAACACTACTGTCCAAGCAAGATGTTACTAGCTCGTATCTGACCTCGAGGTCGCAGCTGAACTTTACACGGTTACACCTGTTTCATTTTATTTTCCTGTGCCTTAAATGTCTGACGTGCCATTTTTCAGCTTCCTTTTAGAACAGACCCAGTGCATAACACAAGTCACAAAAATAAGTACCTTGCTATACACTTCAACTATCTTCTTGATACCTTCACAAACTAGTTCCGCAAGTAACTCTTTGTTTTCTTTACGAATTCCTTAAACTTACATGCTATGAACCATGCAGTGACACCAAAACTACAAGGGACCCTCCAGGCACTTATCCAGAGGTCAGCGCCGCTCACTTCCACCACTACTTGTCAATGTTTTAACAAAAACTGTATTTCACAGGGCGATACCACCTTGATCCTCCATTGCTTAGCTCACTTCGTTAGTGCAGGAGCATCTATGCAATTTGTGATGTAGCTGAAGCTGGTCATTTTAAAGGAGGCGAAAGGAGAAAACATATATATTTTAAAAGCTTGAGATATTGACAACTTTTTGAGTGAAATCATTACATCCAAACAAAAGCATGCGCATTCTTGATAGCAGCTTTTTATGAGTCATGCACAGTGACACGTAGTAAAGACATACTAATATTTTTTGCAGTTAAAAGAGTCCACTTCGGTAGCTGTTCTCCCTACCAACTACCTCTTTTTTTTTTCATAAATATATTCATTTGTGTACCTTTCCCTTGTCCACATCTATGACTACAGCCTTCAAGTAACAGTAAACAGCAGATTTGCAAGATTTTATTTCCCTCTTCGTTTGACCTCTAAGGGGAAAACATGACTGCATGTGAAGAAAACAGGGAAAACTTGGGGTTTAGCACTTAGGCGTTCTGGAGATAACTTCCAGATTTATTTAAACTTACTACTTGCACCACTGCATACGAACAGTAACAGTGTCAAATATGTACATTAACAGCCCTGTAGTCCTTTATCAGAGCAAGATGTTCAATTAAGACTGCCTTTAAAAAAAAATCCAATTTTAATCTAGTACTGTTCTGTTAAATAAAGATGGATTTCTGGTGTTACTGGAGATTGAGGAGAATGTTATATATATAAAAAAAATACAGAGAGAAAGAGACACCCACACACCTATCTTCAAGGCATTTCAGCCTTAAAAGAGGAACTACCCTAGTACAGTTCCTTACGACCTTGCCTCAGTGCAAGTAACAAGCGCGTTGCAGCAGTACCAATGGAAACAAGGCAAAATCAAAATGATTTGGAGAACAGCAGCATAACAAAGGCTCCCAAATACAAAGTCCAAGTACACGCAGCCCAGGAGGGAGATTCCAGCCCAGATGCCGCCTGCCTAGGGACAAGGCTTGGAAATCTCTTCTCTAAGACATGTTAATATACAGAAATGTCTTTCATTGAGAAAGATATATGCTAAAAATCTCTCAAAACTACAAAATAATTTAAAAATATTCACTTCTCATTGAATGTTTGCATTTTTGGGGGTTTTTCAAAGACAAGAGAACTACTAGCTATTCCTTCCTGTCAAGCACCCCACGCTTCTCTCCCACTAAGAGATAAGGGCAGAGGAGCCACCGACAACACTCGACCACACCAGGAATACAAAGGGTGGAGAAAGAGCACAAATAAAATTATATTCTTTATTCATTCCATTTTAGCTGAGAATATTCCTATTATACAAATACAGTATAAATTCCAAAATCACAATATATTACAAAATAAAAAAGTACAAACTGCATTACTTAATAAATATATCTAACAAGTTAATCAGAAATTAGAAGTGACAGAATTCAGATTGGAAACATTTAAATGTTTGACCCAGCAAACCATACAAATCTCAATTTAAATATTTTTTAACCATAACATTGAATACCATTCCTGATTTCCCCCCTGGAAAATAACACCAAAGGAATAAAATGTTGTGATCAGAAAAAAACTCGTCGGTGCAACACAAGTGCCAAAAAAAAAAAAAAATGCAGGGCTCAATACAGAAGACAGCACAACCTCAGAAACAGGAACACAAACACTGAGGTGTAGCCAAGGCAATTACTGCCAGAGCAAGAGACTATTATCTAGTCACAACATTCTATTGTGAGTTAATGTTCTGTTATTACAGATAAATAACATAAATGGAGCAGAAGATGAGCCAGCCAGGCAACAAGAGGCCAGTTTACTCAAAACAGTGATTACATTCAGCAGAGGCAATTGCTCCCTGTGCAGCTCCTGGGTAGCTGCATTCCAACCGGCTCAAAGGACCTGCTCTGGGCTCCGGGCAGAGAAAGCAACAGTTTTGAAAAGCACTCTTTTCATACTTTGCTGCACTTCTACAAAAACTAGTGTTTAGCTTTACCAAAAAAAAAAAAGTTTTCATCACTTAGGGAGGGCAAGTCTGACATCAGCTTCATTTGGTAGAAATATAAGGTTTATGGGTAAAAAAAACACAGCAAAAAATAGCTGTTACATCATAAGCCTTATTTACAAACCGAACAGTTTACAAACATTTTTGGCTGCACAGCTGAAAGCCGGATGCTAACACGAGATGTAGAAGATGGAGGTAACAGTTTTAAAATATTGTGCAAAAAAATACATTCTTATAGAAAACAGAGAAACAGTGGGGCAGGGAGAGAGACAGGAGCACACAGGGCTGGCTCTGCTCGCACATGATCCGAGGGTTACCTATACAGCACGGAACACAACAGACACGTCCGGACGTATCCCCCTGCCCGCCCGGGCTCCTGCTGCTTCGCTGAGGGTTAAGGCATCAGCAGGGCAGCGTGCGCGGCCTCGCTCCGCGGCGCGCGGCCTCAGGAGCACGCGTTCTGCTCAATGTACATCTTGGAGAGCGACACCGCCATGGACTTGGCCAGCTCCTCGTCCCGCCGGCGCTGCACCTGAGTCTGGCGGCACCAGGCCTCGTACTCGGGGTTGGGGCACACGCGGTCCAGCACGGCGTCGTAGTGCCCGTTGCTGAGCCAGCTCAGCCAGATGCTCGGCCGCGTCGCGTCCTCGGGCCCCAGGTAGTGCGTCATGGTGGCCACCGTGGGGCTCTCGGGCCGGCCGCCCGTCGTCAGGTGGATGTTCACGTTGAGCATCTGCCCCATGGCCAGCAGTTCCGGGTAGCCGGCCCAGGCGCCGTCCTGTGCGGCAGCGATGAGGAACTCGCCCACGTCGCCCTCGATGATGGGGCTGAAGTGCTCCAGGTGGTCGGCGATGTAGTGCACGGTCTGCTCGCGGAGCTCGCCGTGCAGCCGCTGCTCGCCGTACACGGCCCGGCACACGGCGCGGTACAGGCAGTTGCCGTCGGGGATGATGTGGAAGCGGAAGCGGCCGCGCTGGCGCAGGTAGCGGTCCTGCTTCTCCACCTCGGCCAGGTACAGCGCGA